AATAAGTAAATAAAATCTTTAAAAAAAAAGATTTTATTTATTTTTAGAGAGAGCAAGTGGGGGGAGGGCAGAGGCAGAGGGAGAGGGAGAGAGAATCTTGAGCAGACTCCGCACTGAGAGTGGAGCCCGACACGGGGCTTGATCTCATGACCCTGAGTCATGACCTGAGCTGAAACCAAGCGTTGGGCGCTCAACCGACTGAGCCACCCAGGTGCCCCTTTAGCCTTGTTTTAAACAGTGCTAGAATATCTATGTACGTGTCATTGGACACATATGGAATTTTGATTGTAGGATAAACTCCTAGAAGTGGAACTGCTGTGTTAAAGGATGTGTACATTTTTAAATGTTGGTAGATGTTGCCAGATTTTACCAATTTCTATTCCCGTGACTGATATGTGAGTGCGTGCGTTTGTCCACATACTCGGTACCAAGTTAACCAACTTTTTTTTATTCATACCCACCTGACAGTGAAAAAAAAAACAACCTCATTGCCGTTTCTGAGTGTGCATATCATTTCATAGGTGAAGGAGTGATTTATTTTCCTTCTTCTCTGTCATTTTGCCCAGTTTCCCATTTATATTCTCCATTAAGGAAATTAGCCCTGTGACTATGACGTCTGGCAAATATTCTTTTCCTGGTTTGTCCTTTGTACGTGAATTCAAATACAGTCAACAGTTGTCTCCAGATCTCGAGCAGTGCTGTTCGGGGACATGGAGAGCCCGTCGCTAAGGTGACCTGTCTCCCCTCTGAGGCCTAGGAGGCAGGCGTTTTCATTTTCACTCCCTGACGTGGACAGGACGCGCTGTGTTGTGGTGGAGCTGGGACAGCTCAAGGCTGAGTCATCCTGTGTGCACTTGACTAAGAGAAGCTGCGAGCCGCCCGGCTCCGGCCTGACGTGGCTCTGGGCAGTGTAGGCGGGTCTCTGTCCTCCAGACGCCTCTATCTCTATGGGAGGTTGGACATGTCCTCATAACCCTGAGAGCTCTACAGAAGGGGATCCCCTCCCCATGGAGCCTTTTAAAAGATGTAATTTTTTTTGATGACCGGAAAAAAAAACCAAAAAACACTCTTTGTAAAAGGAGAACATCTCTTTCGCCTGTTCCCCCCGTAGGGAGCCGAGAGCATAACCACATACACGTTCAACACGCACAAAGCTCAGCACACCTTCTGTAAGAGGTGCGGCGTCCAGAGTTTCTATACTCCGCGCTCCAACCCCGGAGGCTTCGGTGAGTGAAGGGGGCCGGCTGCCCGTGCAGGGGGGACACGGGGACACCTGCGGCTGCCCCGGGTTCATATGCCGATTGCTAGGCCGGGCGCTGCCCTCTCTGGCTTGCCTCTTGCTTGGCAGGGCCTGTGCACGTGGGGGTCTTAGAAGAACAGGGCTGTTCAGCAACGCTCTTTCCCAGTGATGGGAGAGAAGATTGCCTCTGGTCACCCATCCAGATCCTGCCTTCATTTGCTGGTCGCTGGGGGCTGACGCTGAGGGATAGAGGGAGGAGAGGAGATGGGCCTTGGGGGGGCTGGCGGGGTGGTAAGGGAGGGAATTTCCACCCCGAGGATGGTTCAGGGAGTGAAGGAGGCAAGAGTGAGGAGTGTTGATAATGCCGTTAGGAAAGATTCTGTTTGAAAAAAAGGTTTTTCAGTTTGTTTAAAATATAAACAATGAAAGTCCCCAAGCCCCTCCTCTTCAGGTCCAACCTGGATCTGAGGGGGGAATGACACCAATTGCGGTGTGGAAAGTAGCAGTCAAGGAATCTTGTTTCCTTTTTTTTTTTTTAAAGATTTTATTTATTTGTCAGAGAGAGAGCACAAGCAGGGGGAGCGGAAGACAGAGGGAGAAGCAGGCTCCCCGCTGAGCAGGGAACCCGATGCGGGGCTCGATCCCAGGACCCCGGGATCATGACCTGAGCCGAAGGCAGACGCTTAACCGACTGAGCCAGCCAGGCATCCCAAGAATTATCATTTAATTGAAAGAGAGAACAAGCATGGGGAGGGGCAGAGAGAGAGAAGCAGACTCCCACTTTAGCTGGGAGCCCAACGCAAGGCTCAATCTCAGGACCCTGGGATCATGACCTGAGCCGAAGGCAGACGCTTAACCAACTGAGCCACCCAGGCATCTCTAAAAAAAATTTTTTTAAAGCAATCTCTACAACCAATGTGGGGCTCGAACTCACAACCCTGAGATCAAGAGTCGCGTGGTCCATGGACTGAGCCAGCCGTGCGCCCCCTCCCCACCCCACTTCTTTAGCAGCTCCTGTGTGTTCTTCATGTACCACTTGGAGAGGCCTGCCTGCCTGCCTTAAGAATCAAGAAAGGCTTTTGGAAAGTAGAAAATCCTATAAAGGTGGGCAGGTGTTTAATACTTAGAAAGTTCTATTAAAACCCTGGACAAGGCCGGTGAATTCTTCAGGCTGCCAGTCAGAGGTTGTTCTAGGCTTGGATCTTGGTACTTTGTGCTCTCAGCTAGGTACTGAGTGCTATCCAGCCCTGGCATCCCTGGCTTAGGAAGTCTGACCCCCACGCGCCAGGAAGGAAAGGGAGCCGGGAAGCTGACGTTGTGGGGTCGTAAGCTTTAACAGTGGATCGCCACCGATGCTTGCAGGTGTGGGTTTGTCCGCCAGCCAGCCCAGGCCCCGCTCTCGTTCACACCTGGGACCTTCCTTTTTCTGTGTCACCTCCCCCCAGGAATTGCCCCACATTGCCTGGATGAGGGCACCGTGCGGAGCGTGGTCATTGAGGAGTTCAATGGGACCGATTGGGAAAAGGCCATGAAGGAGCACAAGACCATCAAGAACATGTCTAAGGAGTGAGCTCCTGCTTCTCGCTTCCCGAAAAGGAGGAACGATGGGAGCCAGCAGCCATGCAGGGCCCACCGCGCGCTGGCGGGGCCGGAGTGTGCTGACCCAGGCCGCTGGTCCCGTCGGCCCGCGGCCACCCCGATCTCCGCAGTTGGCTCAGCCACCAGCTTCTTTAGGCAGCTCTTTGTCCTTTCAGCCCAGATTTTGATGTAGGCTAGTCGACATCCTTTCTCTTCTCAACTTTTGTGTGATCTTTTAGAAAAATAAATATTTTTAACATGAAAGCAATCACTGTGGTTTGTCATTTTCTCTGCACTTTGATTTTGGTTCTGAGGCCAGGCATTTAATCGCAGGTATTTATCGACCGCTGTTAAAATGTGTGCGACCAAACTGGCGGGGAGAGATGAGAAGACAAATGAATAGTTATGAAACACTTGTAAGACTGGGCAAGATCGAAAGCCACATGAGTTGTAAACATAAGAGCCCTAGGAGTTCAGAGGAGAGAGAGGGCTGGTTAGGAAAGAATTGGGAGACTATCACTGGAGTCTTTTTTTTTGAAGGTAAATCAGCTTCTGATTTTTTTTTTTAATTGGGGTCAAATACCCATAGCATGAAATTGACCATCTTAACCGTCTTTTTTTTTTTAAGATTTTTATTTATTTATTTGACAGAGAGAGAGGACATGAGCTGGTGGAGGGGCAAAGGGAGAGGGAGAAGCAGACTACCCACTGTGCAAGGAGCCTGACGCGGGCCTCGATCCCAGGACCCTGAGTTCATGACCTGAGCCGGAGGCAGACGCCCAACCGACTGAGCCACCCAGGCGCCCCCTGTCTTAATCATCTTTAAGTGTCCAGTTGAGCAGTGTTGAGTACAACCAACTTGAGTGTTGTGCAACCAACTTCCAGAACTCTCCATCTTGCAAAACTGAATCTCTATACCCACTGAACAACAACTTGGAGTCTCTATTTTTAAATGAAGCGAGGGCGCCTGGGTGGCTCAGTTGGTTAAGCGACTGCCTTCGGCTCAGGTCATGATCCTGGAGTCCCTGGATCGAGTCCCGCATCGGGCTCCCTGCTCGGCGAGGAGCCTGCTTCTCCCTCTAACCATCCCCCCTCTCATGTACTCTCTCTCTCGCTCTCTCAAATAAAGAAATAAATCTTTAAAAAATAAAAAAAATAAATGAAGCGAGACTTAGGAAGGTCAAATGGAAAAGTGTGTGAACAGAGGTCGGGGCCCCGAGTAAAGCCAGACTGGACGGGAAGCTTCCGATGGGAGGAAGTAATAGAAGAGATCAGAAAAATGTGTCAGAAGCCGGACTGTGGACAGTCTTGGATATTAAGCTCAGGAATTTGGCCTTTATTTTCCAGGCATTAGGGAAGCCCTGAACAACTTTGAACAGGAGAGGAACATTTGGCCCGCTACGGAGTCTTTTGACTGGTTCCCCTGCCCCCCCACCCACCTTGCTTCCCATTGCTGCTTATTTTAATCAGGTCAACTTGCCCAAAGCATTCCTTTCGCTACCAAACACTGAGTATATACATAACGGCACATGCTTAATAAACATTCGCTCTTTGTTTAGGGAGACTGATGAATCATGCACTGACTTTGTGACGTAGACTAGCCAAGGAGAAGGAACAGGGAGAGAAATAACAGATGGACTGGGTTCTGTGTGATCATCACCTCTTCCAAGTCGGCTGACAGCATGTTTACTTTAAGGCTAGAAAGAGCCGGTGAGAAATTATACAGGGAAAACACGAGTACCCGATCTACCTTTCCTATTGCAAGATTGCGTGAAAACATACTTTTGTGTACCTTTCAGAAACCTCAGTGGAGTCATCCTGTGCCTTTTCTGCAGCTTGCATTTTCTTAAAAAAGTTTTTTTTTTTTTTTTTTAAAGATTTTGTTTATTTATTTGACAGAGAGAGACACAGCGAGAGCAGGAACACAAGCCGGGGGAGTGGGAGAGGGAGAAGCAGGCTTCCCGCGGAGCAGGGAGCCCGATGCGGGGCTCGATCCCAGGACTCTGGAATCATGACCTGAGCCGAAGGCAGACGCTTAACGACTGAGCCACCCAGGTGCCCTGCAGCTTGCATTTTTAATGACATCTGGGTCTTTCCATATCAGTACACATATCCTCATTATTGACTGTGATTTAGAATTGCATAGTATGGAGATAGTTTATTTAACTGGTTGGTTTTTTTCCATGGAAAATTGGGTTTCCAGTTTTTCCTCTCCAGTGAATATTGACAACGAACATCCTTTCCCGTGCCTCTTTATACATTTGGATATTTGGAGATCTTTGTTGTATATCTTCTGCATTCACTAGAGGAAGGAAATGGTTCTAAAGACTCCCCAAGAATTTCCCCAGGTCAGCCTCAACTGGCTGAGTTAGTGGATATCCAAGTGATGGGAATTCTTTCAGATTCTTTTTTTCTTTCCTGAAATCAACCTTCCCTTTAAAGCTGGAGGCCCAAGGGCTGGTGCTTGCTCTTGTGACCGACGAGAAGCTCAAGGCTGGTTCCTCCATCCCCCCTCCCAGGGCAGCAAGAGCGGCCTCCACTATGGGACAGTGTGGTTGTTCTGGTTGCAGGTTAACACACGGGCTCGCAGAGAGCCCGCTTTGGCTGTTGGCTGGCGTTTCCTTCCAAGCAGCAATGCTCCCGCTGTATGACCACCTGCACGGACTTGGTCCTGATCTACGGCAGAAGTCACACCTGAGCATTCTGAGCTTGTAGGCTCCGGTGAACTCTTTATAGATAACCAGAATTCTTTCCCGTATGACCTTGCCTCTTCCAAACGCCTCAGACCTCTCCCCAAGTGCACTTCATTAGACCACATGCTAATCAGTTTTTAATTACTGTCAACGCCACTTTCCGTGTGGGTTTTCCTTATACTATCAGAAAAGGGACGGGAGCCCCACTGATGGGGGTGAGAATGGCACAGTGGGGACAAGCAGGACTCAGCCTTGACCAAGACCAAGACCTCTGACCAAACTAGAACTGGTTTTGTTCCCCAACCTCTTGTGGTCCCAAGAACATAAACATTCTGTAGCCCCAGTGGCTATTCCATCCCGTTCTGTCTCTCCATGAGGGTTGACATAGGGTCACTTTTCAGAGAATTCACTGACTTTACACATTCTTTTTTGCACCAGCCAACCTTGATGCTTTTTACCACCAACAGACTACATGGCTGGTCCCCAGGGGAAGGTATGTATCCTCCAGGAAACGCTCCATTAATCTGTGGGAAGAAAATGTTGGAATTTTAATTTATCCTTTTAAAATGTATTTTCTGTGTATGTTTTGTAATGTATGTATTAGCATTTAAAAGATATATATTGTTTTTGGGGGGATTTTTATTCCTTTTTTTTAAGATTTTTTTATTTATTTATTTTTGGGAGAGAGAGAGAGAGAAGAAAGCACGAGCAGGGGGAGGGACATAGGGAGAAGCAGGCTCCCCACTGAGCAAGGAGCCCGACTTGGGCCTCGATCCCAGGACCCCAGGATCATGATCTGAGCTGAAGGCAGACGCTTAACCGACTGAGCCACCCAGACGCCCCTAGTTTCTATTTCTTGAGAATAAATGCATCACGTGGAATTGCAGAGTCAAGGGATACGTACATCTTGAATTTTTTTTTAATATTACTGATTTCCAGAAGGTTCTACCATCTTGTGATTCCTCCAGCAGAATATATGTGTCCATACCCTCACCCACAGAACACTGGGCGTTATTATTTATAGAACTTTTTGCAAATTAGAAAAGTGAAAAGTGGCATTTTCTTTTGTGTTTCTTTAATTAGTAGTGTGATTTATTTTTTCCCATTTAGGGTGTGTGTGTGTGAAAGAAATACCTATTCATGTCCTCTGTAGTCTTCAATTTCCTTACTAGAAACCTCTCCCACCCTACTCCAATCACCACCTTCAGTGAAAAATAGATTTTCTTTTCTTTCATTTTTAATTTTTATTTTTAAGTAATTTCTACACCCAACGTGGGGCTCAAACTCACAGCCCTGAGATCCAGAGTCACATGCTCTACCGACTGAGCCAGCCAGGAGCCCCTGAAAAATGGATTTTTTTTTTCAAAGATTTTATTTATTTATTTGAGAGAGAGAGAGAGTGAGAGAGAGAGCGCAAGAGAGGGTAGGGTTAGAGGGAGAAGCAGACTCCCCGCCGAGCAGGGAGCCCGATGTGGGACTCAATCCTGGGACTCCGGGATCATGACCTGAGCCGAAGGCAGTCGCTCAACCAACTGAGCCACCCAGGCACCCGAAAAATGGATTTTCATTTTTGCTTTCATTGGCAAACTCTGGCTACTACTTTGGCTGATGTTTATTGGCCATTTAGATTTGCCTGTTACAACATTTTAAAATTTTTTGTTGTGAAATACCTGTCTTTTCCTTTACATCTTCTGGGTTTCCAGCCTGGCTGGGAAGGTCTGCTCCACTCCAAGGTACATATGCATTTAGTCTCTGAAATTTCCTAAATGATATTTTAATATTTCGATTTCTACATGTAAATCTATAATTCATCTAGAATGTGTTTTTGTATTTGGTATAAGGTAGGATGTTTTTGTCTTCTTCCAAATGCCTGACCGACTATACACATTTATTAAATGCTTTCTCACTGAATTAAAATGCAACCTTTATCAGGGTGTCTGGGGGGCTCGGTTAAGCATCTGACTCTTTTTTGTGGTTTTAGATTTATTTATTTATTTTAGAGAGAGAGAAAGAGAGAGCATGAGGGGGAGGGGCAGAGCAACTCAAGCAGACTCCGTCCGGACACAGAGCCCGGGGCAGGGCTCAATCCCACGACCCTGACACCACGACCCGAGTGGAAGCCAAGAGTGGGGCGCTCAATTGACTGTGCCACCCAGGTGCCCCTGAGCATCTGACTCTTTTTTTTTTTTAAGATTTTATTTATTTATTTGACAGAAAGAGACAGCGAGAGAGGGAACACAAGCAGGGGGAGTAGGAGAGGGAGAAGCAGGCTTCCTGCAGAGCAGGGAGCCAGACGGGGGCTCCATCCCAGGACCCTGGGATCACGACCTGAGCCGAAGGCAGACACTTAACGACTGAGCCACCCAGGTGCCCTGCATCTGACTCTTGATCTCAGCTCAGGTCTTGGTCTCAGGGTCGTGAGTTCAAGCCCTGCATTGGGCTCCACGCTGGGTGTGGAGCCTACTTTCAAAACAAAACAAACAAAACCGAAAATAAAATACCACCTTTATCATATAGTAGTTCTCATATAATTGGGATCTGTGTCCAGATTTTGTCTTCTATTTTTTTTAATATC